GAGAAGAAGGAGAGGAAGAAGAATGAGACAAAACGAACAAGAACAAACAAAGACGTGGTAGAGATGAAGAAGAAGAAAGGGAAAAAAAAGAAGAAAAAGAGGAAGAAAAAGAAGAAAAAAACTTACCTGAGTTGGCGATGGCGGTGCAGGCAGTCTTGGTCAGGGGCGAAGAGGATGGCGCGGCTGGATGGTGACGTCGGTGGCGCGCCGGAGGGCAGCAGGGTGATGACGACGATGGCTCGGCAGGGCGACGATAACGATGGCACGGCCATGGGAGGGCGACAACGGCCAACGAACTGGTGCGGGGGGTTAGGGCGCAGGGCCACGCAGTCAGTCCCAAGATTGGAATTCAAAATCTTGGGATTTCCGCGCCATCGATCAACGCAGATCGACGGCCCAGGTCCCCAAAAAAAACAACTATGAAATGTGGCCTACCGGACCCCAAAACAATTGGGGTGTCGCCAAAAAAAAAAAAAATCCCTCTGGCCATTCAGCCCTCAGCTAAAAAAAAATATTTTGAAGCGATTTGGGGGGCGTCGCTGTGGGGTCCCTCGGGCCTGGCTGGGGGTCGCACGGCCGGGCGCCCAGAGCGCCCTTCTGAGCAACCTGGGGTGGCCCAGGCGTCCGGGCTGGAAAGCTAGAATCAAATGGCTGGCCAATTCTTGTCTTTTTCTCGGCGAACTTTGCCATTATCTTCTTGACAGTGAGAGCAGAAGCCATACGGGATGATGGGAGAATGTAAACTGCATGGGACTTGTCCCATGTAGGAGGTGCAGGACCTTGTGGGGTGATGGGACAAAGTATGCAGACAACCTGCTGTTATCTGGTAGAGAGCAGGCACATGCTGTCTTCCCCCCAACATAACACATACGTGTTGTACATGAATACAACGCATAAGTTGCCTTCTATTCAAAAAGAACACATACTAGTTCTATTTGAACAGCACTTCTATTCGAATACAATGCATGTGCATTCTATCCGAATCGTCGATTGCAAGACAGTAGTGCCAAGAGTAGTGCCAAGAGCACGGCACTACTGTCTCTCGTGGATTCTTGGCTTAGAGATAGTAGATTTGCAGATACGTCCACTTTCACTGCATAGCACGACATACAGCTCTTGTCAGCAGACGGTTATTGCCTGCCTTCTCAAGCTGTGTATTTCATCATCACCTGATCCTCGTTTTAAACTGTAAACCGAAGAGAACATATGTTTGACGTGCTTTCTTTCGATAGGGCTTCCATGGAAATGCATAGGTATCTCTGCGGGTACGTTAGCGTTCACAATTTTTTGTTGTGGTTCGTGTTGTGTGGGTTCTCTCCGATGATAAGACCGTCAGCCATGCATGATTTTCCAAAGCGTGTGTTCCACGGACAAAATGCATCAAACTTTTTTTCTTTGAACCACAAGGACTTCCCGAGCCTCTTCTTTTTTTTGGGTGGGGGGGGGGGGGCTGGCTCCGGAAGAAGATCAGGCAGGCCGTGCACCGAAATTTGCAGCACACGTACAGCCACACCAGAGCAAAATAGGGGGGAAACGTACTGGTTGGTCGTTCACACCACCATGTTATTTTATTTTCGAAATTTACCCCAGTGCTAAACAAAACTAACCGCCAGTTTAGTTTTGCTTATTTTCATTTTGCCACCATGAAATGAAGTCCTGAGGAATGACACCCACAGGCTCTTCGAATTTAGGTGACCTGGGCGGCGCGGCCGGTAGCCTAGCTGGTTGGATGGTCTGTGGGTTTTGTTTTCTAAACTACCAGAGCATTAACAAGCATCTTTTTCCCTCTCGGGGCCGATTTCGGTTGCATTGAACCCAAGCCCAATTCCAGTCGCAAGCTGGGCCCTCTCAAACTGGCTCAGGCATGATTTTTCTGTTTTTTTTTTGGCTGGTCGTGGCAGCCTTTTCCATTCGGCAGGCCAAGCCCCAATATTGCGGCATGGCACAATTTGCATGTGAAACTTGTTTGTTAGGGTGCATCGCCATACTACTCTCAAACGACAAAATGGCGAGTACACGTTCACACAGACAGTAGCAAGAACATAAAAAGCATTCGCCAATTACGCCACTATAACTGTCTGTCACCATGTGTCTTGATATTTCTTGCTGGAACAGACTTCCTGTTCCCAACTCTTTCTGATCAACCTAATGATTTGGGGATTGGATATGCGCAACCGGATTACGGGGTAATAAATCCACAGGACCATCCTTCAGTTTACGGACTTCTCGAGGTATGTGCAACAACACCCATACTCACCACACAGCAGACGGCAGCCCTCGCGTTCAAATAGACCGCTCGCAAAGCATCCGCTCTTCGAGCCGTAAGGTTGCCATTCAGCTTTCTTCCACTTAGTCCAGCAGTTGATATTATTGATAGAGTTGGTCCAGCAGTTAACATTATTGATAGAGTGAGATCATTGCAATCTACATGGGCATACAATTACGGGCACAAGCCTCTCGAGAGTGGTCAAATCTTGTCCTTCAGGCAGGGCTGGCACAACCTCCACGCAACTATATTTCGCACATAAATGAAGCAAAAGAATAAAAAGAGGTAAGAAAAAAATGGAAATCCCCCCAGTCTCCTCCAGTGCTCCTCCCACCATTTCCACACTCTTTTTGAAGCCGCGCAGTCCCACCAGAGGTGCTTGGTGGACTCAAACGGCCAGGTGCACCGCAAGCATTGCATCGCTGTCTCCATGCCTCTGCTGCAAAGCCACACCGCCGATGGGGCCACCAGAAGAGACAGCATCCATAACAAACCGGCTTGCTTCCGGTCTGGTAGATTGAGCAGAACATTCCATAGCTTCAAGAAATCAGTTTCCCTTCCCTGTAGATCGTCTATCAGGACTGCACTCCACCTAGATATTGCTACCCCCGCCGGGGCTTTCCTCTTCCTTTCCGCCAGCCTGTAGGAATCCTTCACGGAAAAGTTGGCTAGATTCAGAACCTGTCTCCGTCTCCCGGGTCCCGTAGTTGGCCTACTCTCCCAACTCCACGCAACTGGGTCAATTGACAGTTCCCGAAACGGTGCCTTCCCTACCCCTACCCACTTAGAGGAAGGTATTGAATGGAGTGAGAGATGGGTTTTATTGGGTTTTGTGGGGGAAGAACAGACGGGTTGCAAGGGCTGGGCATACGTGGCCCATGTGGCTAGCTAGAGCAGTAATCTGCTCAGTGATATGGGCGGACAGGAATCGGTCTCGGTTTGAGAGACGGCCATTCTCAGACGTGGAGATTGAAGCGAGTATCAAAAGAGGCCTGAGGAGAGCAATTCAGGTGGACTGGCGCAGGAAGGCGAAGTGTTGAAAGGGCCCAAGGTCCAGTCTCTGGTGGTTTCTGAGATCATGGGGAAAAGGTAACCAGCTAGCGGGTGTTCACTCGTCCAGAGGGCTGGTGATCTCCAAGTGGTTGAACTCTGACTAGAAGTAAAGGGGTGTAGGGTAATGTAGAGTAGAACAGTGAGTTTGGAGGGTAGGGGACCTGGGCTACTCGGTCTGTAGGGAGGAGGCAAGAGAGTGGTCAGGCTTTAACCAGATCACTCGGTTCTTAGGGTCGCAGTGGGCCAAGTAGGAGAGTGATGTGGAATAATGAACTTAGTTCCACCTAGGCCATAGTAGGCCAGGTCGTCGCCTTAGACGGATTGGATGATTGAATAAAGAGCTAGTGTGATAAATAAGATGGAGCAAGTTTCAGCTGTTAAAAGAATTTCGGGTCAAGTTGAGTGTTGTACATGGAAAGGATTTCAGTTCTGGGCTGTAATAAGGCACGGAAGAGGGGTTCCCAGTCCAGCTGAGACCGTAAGCTAAACTGGCTGATGCTGTCAGGATAACTCCGGATCGAATTGTGAGGTCCCCGGCCTCCCCTTTTCTGAAAGAAAATGTTTGTTTTCTCTCTAAAAATAAAAAAATAATAAAAAAATAATAAAAATTGAAATCCGATCGACTTACACATCCACATCATCTGCAGTTTGTGGATCCTCCAATTGCAGAATTTCTTCCACTGCCATCGGGAAAATGTGCGCATTCAAGCAAAAGAATAAAAAGTTAATCCATACCCGGAAACCCGAAAACCTTTCTGGGAAAGCACTTTTTTTATAGGCTCATACTAGTTTAGCAGTTTGGGAGTGCATAATAACGCCGTAATCATTTGAGTGTCAACATTCATGGATCCTCCAGTTGAAGAATCTCCTCAACTATATTGTGCATGCAATATAAAATGATATATCTTCTCACCACCCATTGCGACCCGATGACAGTAGACGGCAAGCCCTCACAGAACTCAGAAATGGATGAATTACTAATTTATTACATTGTGCGCTTAGCACAATGTACTCATTGATCTACAAGAGGACTTCAAGTGCAGAGGATGGCAACTGCTTTCCTGTTTAGGATTTGCACTGAGGGGTGCAACCCATTCGTGATATATGTGGTCAGCATAAATCCAGCCGCTAAGAGATAATGTATACAACTGTATAACGCTGCCATAGCACCTGTGTGGGGCCCATCACTTTATAATCTCTGGTTGTCTCTACAAAGGATAAAGCTAGATATAACAGAGGCACTCGCCGCGCGAACGTACACACCCACCCACCCATGCACACACACCCACCCACACAACACAAACAGAATGCACGCGTTCATGAACAGAGAAAAAGAACAAAAAGACACCTCTGGCGATGCCAGGAGCGCATAGTTTGGCAAGAGTGCCAAAATGACATTTTCTGATTTTCAGAACAAAACAAATAACAACAAGTGGTCATATATCATCTCTGACTCAGTCTGCAACCAGAGCATTCCCCCCCCCCCCGCCCTCTCTCTCTCTCTCTCTCTCTCTCTCTCTCTCTCTCTCTCTCTCTCTCTCTCTCTCTCTCTCTCTCTCTCTGTATGTGTGTGTGTGTGTGTGCATTCATATCTGTAGATACACATCTACAAAACAAGGGTAAGGGAATTTGCAGTCCAAGAGATGCATATATTCCAGAAAGTGGCAGCAAGATACACCTCTTTAGTAAGCAGGAACCTAGTCCGTCATAGCGCAACTTGATCATCCAGTGTGTAAATACTCGTAGGAAATCTGAAGTAGATTAATTCAGGAAAATGAAACAAGTATAATGGAGTTTGTCAGTCAACTGAAACTTCCATTGCAACCAAATCCTTCTCAGCCCAATATCTTTCCCAGTAGACCAAATCGACCTAATCAATGCCTCTCTCTCTCTCTCTCTCTCTCTCTCTCTCTCTCTCTCTCTCTCTCTCTCTCTCTCTGCCTTGAAACCAAGGCTCACCCCTTCAGGGCTAACGAAAGGCAATAATCACCAGCAAGCACCCCTTTCTCACCTACCGAGTGCAATGGCAATGAGATGTGCTCTTCTCGACACCTCGTAGCGACGGGACACATGCCAGCCGCAAAACTGGCCCCGCTTCTGTAAAACAGGGGAGGGACAATCACACTTCATTTCACAAGCAGATCAGTCACACATGACCAACATTGTGATAGACAGGGAGACCCCTGAAGAAACACTTGTTATGTTTACCTACACCCCCCCTCTTCTTCCACGCTTTCATCACTCATCAATGCACCCCCACCTTTCTCTCTTCAATCCCCTGTATCGATCAAAACACCAAAAGTTCATCAGGCCCACCCCATAACCCTATTCCAAGGTAAACCGTGCTACTCCCAGGCAAGCAACCCCCTCTTCACCATACCACACCCTCCCAGGGCAGCTACTATTCTGCAGACAGACATCCACAAGCTAATCATAGTGTTCATCATCTCCTCCTCCCACCTCTAACAAGATCACTCTTCAGCCAACCCACCACACTACTGCCACTAGCCAAGCTCTTAACACAGTCATGAATCCCCAGACGACCACCTCTACTCTAGCGCTGCATTGCCCTCATAAGAGGGCACCTAATCTATTAAGCCGCCACTACCTTTCACAGTGTTGGGAAACGTCGGAATATAGCCTACCCCGCATTCTTCGGGGGCTGGGCCCAATGGCGGCCACCGTTGATAAATTTCATCAGCAGCCGCCATCTCGTTTTGGCCTCTGGAACGAGCGGGGACCCCCCGTGCGGCCGATGTACAGAAAAGGTATTGGTGGTTTAAGCCCGTCCTGAAGTGAGGGCACCTAACCTATTAAACCCATCCTTGGTATGCTGGACGTCATATCAGTGGATGGAGACAAAGCAGCACAGCTGACGACGATGCAATGGAGACAAAGCAGCACAGGTGACGACAATGCCACATGCTACACCAGATGAGCCCCAGATAGAACTTGGACCCCGGCAACAGGAGCTTGTATTCACTTGTTCTGGAACCGGTATGTCCCATTTGTGGTATTTCTTGGGGAATGGTAGCAAAAATACAAAATTACTCCAAGCTTTGAGACCAAAGAAGGGAGTAATCCCACTAGCCTAAGAGAGTAGACCATGGCACAGAACTGACTAAAGAGATACGCATACGCTCAGCAACTGCTGAGAGCGCAAGGCCACCCTTTGTTGCCTATGTAAGTAAGGATGAGATGCCTTTGAGAGCCTCCGGACTTACAGAGACTCAAGCTTAGCGACAACTACACCACCTCTTTCTGACCCATATAACTAACCACAAGCTACAGTGATGTGCTCAAGATTGAGCACAAGCTCAACACCTGGCAGCATCCACGAAGAGTGGGAAAGCAGCCACAGTCACAACGGCACGTAAATGCGACCTAGCCGACTAGCCACGAACATAAACTCGGTATGCCATTATGCCAGCACTCCCTGCTCTCTCTCTCTCTCTCTCTCTCTCTCTCTCTCTCTCTCTCTCTCTCTCTCTCTCTCTCTCTCTCTCTGTGTCTGTGTGTGTGTGTGTGTGTGTGTGTGTGACCAGCCATGGCTGGGCACAAGCTGCAGACATCGTAGCAGAGAGAAGCTGCACACAATGTCATCGAGGCATGGGCTATCATATCAGGAAAACAGACGAGCTTGCTCATGGACAGGTTCTACACATTGGCTGTGCCTGACGTGAAGTCCGGATGTTCGCAGCGGTACTTCCCATCGGGACCGATTCCAAATCCCTTAGGATCTGGGAAAACATACCGAAGCAACTGGCTCCGCTCTGGGACTGGACTTGCCTCCGCATACTCAACTGCTTCATCCACCACTTCTTCCACCTGCTTGTCAATCGCCTTCAACTCATCCTCTGAACAGAGTTGGTTCTCCAGCATATACCTCTTCAGTGCAGCAATCGGATCTCTGGCCGCATACTTTGCCTTCTCCTCTGCAGTGCCCAGACAACCAAAACAGCAACCCAGTCAGTCAGTCCGCCAATCCAATCAACCCCAGCTTCAATCACGCGCAGACCTTTTTTTTTTTTCAATCGCATGCAGGCAGATCTGTTTTACACATATTTCTGTATTTACACATTTTCTAAATATAGCACACAATCAATCAGAGATACACTGAAACACACTTCCCATTGTACCCGAAGCAGGCTGCCACATCATCCCATATGAATGCAGACAGTAGCCATGCCCAGTTACAAACCACAAAAGAACAAAAGGCATTCTTTTCAAATACATGCTGAAAGGTAAGCACAAAGCTCGCTGCAAACATTACAAAAGACCATATATCTATCGCCTGCAGAAATCGGGAAGGTACGCACAAAGCTTGCAGCAAACATCTCAATTCACAGTATATCGACACGGTGAGCAATAGTATCACCCATCGCCTGCACAGCAAAGCTCATCATCACCCAAATTGGAAGCAGACAAATAAAATACTACAATTCTTAATTACCTAGGGCCGGTCAGTTTGATGGTGACATTTCAAGGCCGTCATCCTTAAAAGAGAACAAAAGGGGGGGGGGG